AGGTTTCCGCTGTAAGCAACTAGAAAAAAAAGAGCAAATTAACTCCAAAGTAAGCAGAAGAAGAGAAATTATAAAAATTTGAGTAGAAATCAATAAAATTGAAAACAAAATTAATAGAGAAAATTAATAAAACCAAAAGCTGATTATTTTAAGGCATAAATAAGATTGACATGCTTCTAGCAAAGCTAACAGATAAAGAAAAAAGACATAAATTATTAATATCAGAGATGAAAGAAGGAACATCACTGTGAATCTTATGAACATTAAAAGGATAACTGAGCACTACTATGAACAACTCTACACCACAAACTTAATAATCTAGATGAAATAGGCCAATTCCTTGAAAGACACATCTCCCACAACTCACACAAGAAGAAATAGACAATCTGAAGAGTCCTATACCTATTTAAGAAATTTAATTGATAACTAATAATCTTTTAAAACAGAAAGTACCAGGCCCAGATGAAATCACTGGTGAAGTCTATCAAAAATTTAAAGAAAGACATTATCAATTCTCTATAATGTCTTTCAGAAGATAAAAGCAAAGAGAATACTTCTTAACTCATTGTATGAGGCCAGCATTACCCTAATACGAAAATCCTGCAAAGACATTACAAGAAAAAAATAACTACAGACTTATATCTCTCATGAATGTAGATGCAAAATTCCCTAACAGGACACTAAGCAAATTGAATTTAACAATGTATAAAAATAAATTTCACTCAATGTACAACATAATTGAGTGAAATTTATTCCAGATTGCTTTGATTTGAATATTTGTACCCTCCAATACTCATTTAAGATTTAATTCCCATTAAAGCTGGGTCTTTAAAAAGATGACTGGGTTATGAGGGCTCTGCCCTCATGAATGAACCACTCCATTCATAGATCATTCAATAAATGGGTTAACAAGTTAATGGATTAATGGGTTATCACAGGAGTGAGACTAATGGGCTTTCTAAAAAGTGAAAGAGAGACCAGAGGTAGTATGCTCAACTTTATTGCCATATGATGCCCTGCACTGCCTCAGAACTTTGCAGAGAGTTCTCAACAGCAAGAAGGTATTTCACCAAAAGCAGACCCTCAACCTTATGTTTATGTTTTCAGCCTCTATAGCTGTAAGAAATAAATTATTTTTCTTTATAAATTACCCAGTTTCAAGTATTCAGTGATAAGCATCAGAAAATGAACTAAGACACAGGTATACAAGCTTGGTTCAATTTGCAAATCAATTGATGTAATAAATCACATCAAAAGGCTAAAGAGGAAAAAGCATATGATTATATCAATAGATGCAGAAAAAGCATTGGATGAAATCCAACATGAACTCATGATAAAAATTCTCAGTAAACTAGGAATAGTAGGTAACTTCCTTGAGATATTGATAAAGATGTCAATATTTACCAAAAATGCTACAGCTAACTACATACTTGATGAGAAACATGAAGCTTTCTCACTAAGATCAAGAACAAGACAAAGATGTCCCCTCTCATCACTGTTTTTCAACTTCATTCTGGAAGTGCTTGCTAATATAATAAGACAAGAAAATCAAAGGTTTATAGATTGAGAAGAAAGAAATAAAACTGTCTCTGTTTGCTGATGACATAATTATTCATGTGCAAAATCCAAAGAATCAACAAACTCCTGAAACTAATCAGTGATTTTAGAAAAGTTGTAGAACACAAGGTTAATTATAGAAAAGTCAATTACTTTAAATTACTTTCCTATATACTAGCCATGAACAAGTAGAATTTAAAATGGAAAATATAATAGTGTTTACTCTAGCACACACAAATACTTAGTCATAAATCTAACAAAATGTTTACAGGATCTATATGAGAAAAACCACAAAAGTATGGTAAAGGAAATCAAATAACTAACTAAATAAAGAAATATTCCTTGTTCATAAATAGAAATACTAAATATTGTTAGAATATCAGTAATTCCCAATTTGATCTATAGATTTAATGTAATCACAATCAAAATTTCAGCAAGTTAATTTGTGGATATTGACAAAATGATTCTAAAGTTTATATGAAGAGGCAGAAAAACCCAGAATAGCCAATACAACATTGAATGAGAAGAACAAGGTTGTAGGACTAACACTACCTGACATTAAGTCTTACTATAAGGGTACATGTAGGAGTCTATTTTGTGCTGCTATCACAGAATACCTGATATTTAGTAATTTAGAAAAAGCAAAGATTAATTTCTTACAATTCTGGAGGCTCGGAAGTCCAAGGTTGAGGAGCTTACATCTGGTAGGACTTGCTCACTGTGTCATCTGATGGCAGAAGTTCCAGAGCAAGAGAGTGCATGCACATGTGCAAAACAAGGGAGTTGATCTCATTCTTTTATCAGGAACCCACTTCCTCAATATCTTACCAATCCTGTGATAATGGCTTTAATTCATTAGTGAGGACAGAGCTTTCATGACCTGATCACCTCTTAACGATCCTGCCTCTCAATGCCTTTGTATTGGTGATTAATTTTCCAACACATAAATTTAGGGAGATACATTCAAACAATAGCAAAAATATAGTAATTAAAACAGTATAACATTGGTGAAAGTTAGAAATAAATATATCCATGGAACAGAATAGAGAGCTCAGAAATAGAACAGCTTAGAGTCAACTGATCTTTGTCAAAGGAGCAAAGGCAATATAATGGAGCAAATATAATCTTTTCAACAAATGGTTCTGGAAGAACTGAATGTCCATATACAAGAAAAAAATCAATCTAAGCACAAATTTTACACTTTTCACAAAAAAATTAATCCAAATGAATCACAGACTTAAATGTAAATCCAAAGTATAAACTCCTAGAAGATTATATAGGAGAAAATCTAGATGATCTTGAATTTGTCAATAACCTTTTTGATATAATGCAAAAGGTATGATTTATGAAAGAACAAACTGATAAGCTGGGCGTCATTAAAACTAAAAATTTCTACTCAGCGAAAGACATTCTCAAGAGAATGAAAAGACAAGCCACAGCCTGGGAGAAAAATACCTACAGAAGACATATGCAATAAAAACTATTACCCAAAATATGCAAAGATGCTTTAAACTCAACAGTCAAAAAACAAACAGCTTAATTTAAAAATGGGTCAACGACCTTAACGGATATCTCACCGAAGAAGTTATATAGTACTCAAATAAGCACATGAAAAGGTGCATCATATATCATCAGGAAAATGCACATTAAGACATCAATGAAATACCACTACACACCTATTAGAGTGGCAAAAATCCGGAACACTGGCAACACCAAATGCTGGCAAGGATGTGGAGGAACACAAGCTCTCATGCATTGTGGTGGGAATGCAAAATGGCACAGCCGCTTTGAAACACAGTTTATTGGTTGCTTTAAAAAGTCAACATTACTCTTACTGTCATAGTCTGTTTAGTGCTGCTCATAAAAAAATACCTGAAACTGGGTAGGTTATAAAGAAAAGAAATTATATATATATATATATACTATGCATTCTGGGTGAGAATAATGTATAAATGTAGGTTCATCAATTGTAAATGTACCATTCTGGTGTGGGATGTTGATAAAGAGGGAGGTGATCTATGGGTCAGGGCAGGAGGTACATGAGAAATCTCTGTATCTTCCTCTGTGTTTTGTTGAGAACCTAAAACTGCTATAAAAAAAAAAAAAGAGTTTATTTTTAGAAAACGAAATTGGTTAAGAAAAAAAAGTAGCTCTGCCACTCACTGGCTGGGTGGCTTCAGACAATTTGATTTCTCTTTTTCTCCAATTTTCTATCTGTTAAACAGATAATGATAACAATTTCTTAAGATTTTTATGATTTGAGTTGATATTCTCCACACATTTTAAATAGTTTCCTAACACATTAAATATTTGTGAAATAAATTTAAAATAGTATTTACCACTCTGTATTGTAACTGATGATTCATCTATACCATCTTTAACTAAAAGCTTCCTGTGGATAGTCTAGCTGGGCTGTGACACACAGGAGGTACAAAGGAAATACTTATTGAATGAAATGTCTAGCAGTGGAATGGCCTGCCCAGGAGATGGTGACTTCCCTGTCGATGTAATTATTTAAGAAAAGAGGCCGGGTGCGGTGGCTCACGCCTGTAATCCCAGCACTTTGGGAGGCCGAGGTGGGTGGATCACGAGGTCAAGAGATCGAGACCATCCTGGGCAACATGGTAAAACCCTGTCTCTACTCAAAATACAAAAAATTACCTGGGCATGGTGGCGCGTGCCCGTAATCCCAGCTACTCAGGAGGCTGAGGCAGGAGAATTGCCTGAACCCAGGAAGCGGAAGTTGCAGTGAGCCGAGATCACGCCATTGCAGTCCAGCCTGGGTAACAAGAGCAAAACTGCGTCTCAAAAAAAAAAAAAAAAAAAAAAAAAAAAGAATGTGACAATCATCTGTCAGTGATGTAGAGAGTATATCTAATGCATGAGGCTACCAATAGTGGCTAAAATTTCTTCCAAATCTAAGATTGCATTATTCTCTTTATACTTTTTCTTTAGCATTTTTCGTAGTCTAACAACAGTACCTCCACAATAAAGGAATTGCATCTTTCAGCACTTGCCACCTTCACCCTTAAATAGGTTCTAGCTTCTCCTTAACCACATTATATGCTCTTCCCTTTGTTTAGAATGCTATCTTATACCTGTCTGTTTCACTTTCTGTATACATTTTCCAGAAAGGCTTCCCTGGTCCTCCATAAGAGGACTAATCATCCCTCACATGATGCAATAGTATTTTGGCTTTCTATGATCACATGTTATAAATGCTGCCTGATTGCTAACTTACTAAACTGTAAGCTGCTTGAAAGCTGGATCTGTGTCCTATCTACAGATCAGATCTTTCCCCTTCCCCCTCCTCTCTCTTTCTTCCTTTTATTCCCCTTCTCCATCCTCCCTCCTCCCTCCTCCTTCCTCCCTCCTCCCTTTTTCTTTCCGGGAGGCGGGGCACGTCTCGCCTGCGTGCCCCGTAGATTGGCAGGTCACCAGGACAGCCGGCGCAGGCGCACTGGCCTGTCCGAGGCCGGTGGACCATGGAGGTCGGAAGGTGTTTCGTCTGGGAATGGAGCGCCCAATCCCTCCCCGTGGCAGTAGGGGCCGTTTTGAAGCTGCGGCTCTGTGAGCTGTGGCTACTGCTACTGGGTTCTGGTTTGGACGCAAGTTTTTTGCCACACGAAGAGGACATAGACTTTATCAATGAGTACGTGAACCTCCACAATGAGCTGCGGGGCAACGTCATACCCCGAGGATCTAACTTGCGTTTCATGGTGAGGCCAGAAGGCGGTTTCTCGAACCGCCCACGACCGTTGCCGTAACACCCCTTCGGCCTCGAGAAGTCGAGACAACGCTCTGAGGCCGAAGGATCGCGGAGAACCGCACTTTTAGTTTGGATTTTAAAGTACACGTGAAGTTTATACAGAGAAAAACCGCTGACTCTCTAACACTTATTTATTACCATGATATTGTACCCGGTCGGGACTAGGGCGATGGAGGCACTGGCCTAAAGTGCAGACTTTAAGGGGACGCCAATTAAAAATGATATTTTAATGCAACGAGTTTTTAAAAGTTAAAAATCAGTACAAAAATATCAATATCAATAATAAAGGAAATGTTTTAAAAATTAAAGACAGGATCCTTCCGTCCGGATTAGGGAAAAGCAAGTGCAACACTCTCAGGGTGGTGCAAATCAAGATGAGATCCTGTTTGTATCTGAAATCTTTAGTTTTTTCCATCACATATGTCACATTAGCTTTGCCTTTTAAAAATATATTTTATCTTGATTATTGTTTTTGTTTTTTGGTGCCCACTTCAAATTTGGCTCCTAAGGGAGTGTCTCAGTTCCCTCACCCTAGTCTTGACCCTGATTTTGCCTTCCTTTACAGTGCTGTTCTTACTTTCCCCCTCTTTTCCACCCTGTAGTCATTTAACAGCTCATCTTTTCCCTGGTTGCTATGGAGTTTTCATGACTGTCATTAATAATGACTGCAAAATCCAACAAGTAAATAACTGTCCTCTTAGGGAATTAGAAGCTTCAAATTTATCTTATAAATTATATTGCAAGGACTACTTCCCTCGACATGTCTTTTCTTCCTTCAGCATTACTTCTTAGCACAAATTTCAGAAATGGGATAAATACATTAAGGGTATGATGTTTTTTATTTATTTAATACATAGCAATTGCTATGCTAAAGGGCTGTGCCAAATTTAGCACATACCAACTGTGTATAAATGTTCTTTTTCACCACATCTTCACGGACTTGGACATGTTCAATTATTTGCTAAATAAATACATTATAAATTTGTTTTAATGTTGATTTAAAAATACTTTTTGATAGGACTCACTTTAGTTCTTTCTTGTTCATTACCTTTTGTATTGTCAGCATTTCCATGTCAGATTATATATATGCTGTTTCATAGAAATACGCTAGCATTTGTGTCTATATGCTGAAGAGACTTTTCTCTAAGCCAATTTTTTATCTTTTGAATTCAGTTATACAGTTTGGGGATATTTGGGAGTTTCAGCTAATTTCCAATTTTTTGTGACTAATTCTGTTTCTTCCCAATTTGAAGATTGTCCTTACTCATGAAAATTAATAAACACATAATACTTTCTAATACAAGTTTTTATAGGTTTTGTATGTCTCATCTCTAAAATTTATATGATATTTCAAATGTAAAGTATATAAAATAATATACCTGTATACCCACAATTGATACTTTTAATACGGACATTTTTTAATGAATGGTATTTGATGTATAGGTTAAAGTCCCACCCTAAATTTTTCTTCTTTCTTAAAGTTAATGTATATTTTTCCCATGTATTTTACTAGGACATAAATATTAACTGTAAATAGTATAGTCTATCATGATAGTATGGTCTATTAAAAATGTTTCTTTAGCAGATTTGGGCATCATTCATTTTAATTCTTTTATTGGTTATTTTTAGTATTTTAACACAGGTACTTTATAAATTCCAAAAGTTAATATCTGTAAACTCTACTGAAATGTTAATAAGATCTTAGAACACAAATTCTGAATACGTTCCATCCTTATTCATGCTGTTGTCCTATAGTACTTTTGCTCTACCTTGCTTTTAAATACAAAAAAAAATTTTTTAATTGCATTACAACATACAGGACGTAATAACATTTACCATTTTAACCATTTTTAAGTGTATAGCCCAGTAGCAGCAAGTACATGCGCATTGTTGTGCACCCATTACCACCACCCTTCTCCAAAATATTTTCATCTTCCTGAACTGAGATTCCATATCCAACAAATAATTACTTTACTCTCCATTTTCCCCTCCCCTGAGGCCTCTATCACCATTCTACTTTCTATCCCTATTAATTTGACTTCTTAGTACCAAAAGTAAGTGGAATTGTACAGTATTTGTCTTTGTTACCAGGTCATTTCATTTGGTATAATGTCTTGAAGTTCACCCATGTTGTAGCCACATGTATCAGAATTTCCTTTCCTTTTATAGCTGAATAATATTCTACTGTATGTTTGTTTATCCATTCATCTGTTAGTGGATACTTACATTGCTTCCATTATTTGGCTATTGTGAATAATACTGCTATAGACATGGATAAACATGTATCTGTTCCCATTCCTGCTTTTGCTGTTTCTGAGTATATACCCAGAACTGGAATTGCTGTATCATATGATAATTCTATTTAATTCTTCAAAGAACAGCCATTCTGTTTTCCATAGTGGCTGTACCATTTTATTCCCACCAGGAATGTGCAAGGGTTCAGTTTCTCCGCATCCTTGACAACACTTGTTATTTTCTGTTTTATTTTCCTTATTCCTCTTTTTGTTTTAATGATAACTGTCTAGTAGGTATAAAGTGATACTTCACTGTATTTTTTATCTGCATTTCCCTAATGATTACTGATATTGAGCATCTTTTTATTTGCTTGTTGACCAAGTATTTCTCTTCTTTGAAGAAATATATATTCAAGTCCTTTGCATACTTTTTGGCCAACTTGTTAGGTTTTTTTGTTGTTGAGTTATAGGAATTTTTATAGATTCTGGATATTAATCTTTTTCAGATATATCATTTGAAAGTATTTTCTCCCATTTTGTAAGTTGCCTTTTCATTCTATTTATTAGTAGTATCCTTTGATGAACAAAAGTTTTTAACTTTGATGAACTCTTAATTTATCATTTTTTGTTGTTTATTGTATTTTTTGTATCATATCCAAAAAATCATTGCCAAATTCAATATCATGAAGCTTTTCCCCTGTGTTTTCTAAAGGTTTTATCATTTTAGGTCTTTGAGTTAGGTTTTGTATATTGTGTAAGGTAAGGGTCCAGCTTTATTCCTTTGCATATGGATATCCAATTTTCCTAACTTTATTTGCTGCAAAGATTGTTATTTTTCCCCATTAAATGGTCTTGCCATCCTTGTTAAAAATCATTTGACCATTTGTGCTGGTGTTTATTTTGGGGCCCTGTATTCCATTCCATTAGTCTAATATGTCTGTATACTATTACTAGTTTCACACCAATTACTGTAGAATACTGATAAGTTTTGAAATTAAGAAGTGTGCATTCTCCAAGTTTTTTCATCTTCAAGATTATTTTGGCCATTCTGGGTCCTTTCAGATTTTTTATGAATTTTATGATGTATTCTTGCAAAAACAATACATTATTGGGATTATTATTTTGGGATTATGTATTTGAATTGGGATTATTATGGGGATTTTGAAAGGGTTTCATTGATTTATAACATTTTGGGTAGAATGGGCATCTTAACAGTATAAAGCCTTCCAATACATTAACACAAGATGTCTTTTCACTTTCTAATATCCACCTTAATTTCTTTCAGTAATGTTTTGTAGTTTTCAGTATACATGTTTTTCTCTGTTTGGCTAAGTTTATTCCTAAATATTTTATTCTTTTTGATGCTATTGTGATAGAATGGTTTACCTGACTCTCTTTCAGATTTATTGTTAACATATTGAAAAGAAACTAATTTTGTGTATTGATTTTGTAACCTGCTACTTTTCTGAATTTATTTATTGGTTCTAACAGTTTTTTTGTGTGGAATCTTTAGGGTTATCTACATATAAGATGACTGTGTGGCTATTTTTCTTCATTTTGTTAATGCGTTCTATCACATTGATTAATCTTTATATGTTGAACCATCCTTGCATCCCAGGAGTAAATTCCCCTGGGTTATCATGTATAATTAATTTAATGTGCTGTTAAATTCAACTTCTTGTGTTTTGTTGAAGATTTTTTTTTTCTTTTGAGACGGAGTTTCTCTCATTACCCAGGCTGGAGTTCAATGACGCAATCTTGGCTCACCGCAACCTCTGCCTCCTGGATTCAAGCAATTCTCCTGCCTCAGCCTGCTAAGTAGCTGGGACTACAGGCACGCACCACCATGCCCAGCTAATTTTTGTATTTTCAGTAGAGACGGGGTTTCACCTTGTTGACCAGGATGGTCTTGATCTCTTGACCTCATGATCCACCCGCCTCAGCCTCCCAAAGTGCTGGGATTACAGGCGCGAGCCACCACGCCCAGCCAAATATTTTTATATTAATATTCATAAAATATATTGGCCTATAGTTTTCTTATAGATTCTTTTTCTGGCTTTGGTATCAGGGTGATGCTGGCTTCATAGAATGAGTTAATACATGTTACCCCCTATTCATTTTTGGGGAAGAGTTTGAGAATTGATGTTAATTTTTCTTTAAATATATGATAGAATTCACCAATGCCTCCATCTGGTTTTGGGCTTTTCTTTGTTAGGAGATTTTTATTACGGATTAGGTCTTCTTACTAGTTATAGGTCTGTTTAGATTTTCTGTTTCTTCGTTACTACCTTTTGGTAGGTTGTATGTTTCCAGGAATAAATCTTCTCTCTTTTTTTCTTACTCAGAAATGTTTATCATTGCTAAATATTTACCATTTTTGTTGATCTTTTTGAAGAACCATAGTTCTGTTTTCTCTGTTGCTTTTTTTGTTCTCTAATTTCTTTATCTCTGCTTCAATCTTTATTTTTTCCTTCCTCTGATAACTTTGGGTTTAATTTGATTTTCCTTTTCTACTTACTTATGGTGTACAGTTAGGTTTTTGATTTGGAGTCTTTCATTTTTTAAAACATAAGCTCTTACAGTCATACATTTTCTTCTTAGCACTGTTTTTTTTTGCTGCATTCCATAATTTTTAATAGTTGTGTTTTCATTTTCACTTGTCCCAAGATATTTTCTAATATCTTTTGTGATTTCTTCTTTGATTCACTGCCTAAGA